GACCAAGCATAATTAAATAGTGCATTATAAACATAAATCTTTCATATCTACTCAGTTCCAGAGCACCTTGAGGTGGTGTAATGGTTAACAAGGCTTGTCTCAGTAGAACAATTATGACTGAGTAGTGAGTTTGATCCTCACTGGGTACCCCCTACTTTTGGCCTTTTTTGCCACATCTAAGCTACGCTTGGAAAAACACTGTCTACTCAGTTCCATATCCTAACATAAACAAAGGTATTTCTAAAGAAGTAATGGATTTTTTATTTATTAATAATATGATAATACATTTTTTTAAACAGTTGCATGGGTGTCTTAAAGAATGATTAATTTTCCTCCCATAAGACATGAAAAATTTTGATTGGTGCTGAAAAGTTCTCAACATAATCAAGAAAGAATTCCAAAGATAATTCTGATGTTTGGTCAGATTTTGGGAAGTGGGTCAGGCTATTAACTTTTCGCAGCCCTTAATATGTGTGCGTGTGACTGTGTATTAGTATTTTAGCTGTTATCATGTTCTCTCAACAACCACACATGAAAATCAGGTTGAAAGCTAATAACCTCTCCTACCCCACATGTTTTCAATATTATAAATCCCCAGAAAATAGATTTTCTAGATCAAGTGTCTAGACTTCCAATTGTCTTGTTTTTTAAAATATTCTTGATAAATTTAAATTTAAATCATTTGTAATTTTGCTCTGATGAGATGGGTATTAAAAACTTACCCATTGAAATAAATTGTAATTTATAACCGTGTTTTCAATAATGCATTAAATTTTTCCTTGATGTGTATCATATTGCTCTGTATACTATATATTGAGCTTTCTTTATGGATCCATCTTTTTAATATTTTATATTAAAAAAAGACCTACTTGTATTATCCTTTCCATTAAGGGATATGATATTATTATTTATCTATCTATCTATCTCTCTCTCTCTCTCTCTCTCTATCTATATATATATATATATATATATATATATATATATATATATATATATGTGGTTGTGTGTGTAGTTTAAAATTTGAGATATTTATTGGTAAAGTGTACTCAATATAACAGAGAGTTTGTCAATAGAAAAGATGTAGACATAGACACTACATAGTGACTATTTACATTATGTATATTCAGTCAAAACATTATGGTAACAACAAAGATGAGGACAATAATCCAAATATAAATAATAACTCTTCATCACAGAAATTTAGACAGAAATGCATAGTGATTGTTGGTTCCATACCTTAAATAATCATCAGTACCAAACGCTTCTTTATGTGGGCTCTATATATAGGCCACTGAGGGCATTTAAAAAGTGAGAGGAAACTGTTTTTTTTTTTTTATAGTGTTGTTTAGGGCTGATGTTTTTTTTATTATTATTCTGTTTATTATTTACATTATTTGGAGTATTGTCCTCGTCTTTGTCGTCCTATTTATTACAATGTTTTGGCCGTTGTACACTTCGGTTTTCTTCAGGTGGATGGAATGTCGAACTGAACCCTTTATTTCGCTCACTGTTCTAGTTTCATGAGCCATGTTTAATGGATGTCAGTTATCAGTTATCTCCTGTTAATTTCCCTCTGAAAGTTCTCCACTGCCTTGACTGGGTGTTGAACTCACACACTTTGGGTCCTGTCACTGGATCTAACTAACACCTTTATCCACTGCCATGTTTCCTTGAGGAAATAAAGGGCTCAGTTCAACATTCCAACCACCTGAAAAAGGCTGGAGCATACAACGGCCGAAATGTTGTAATAAATATGATGACAAAGATGAGGACAATAGTCCGAATAATGTAAATAATACCTCATCTCAGAAATATAGACAGATTATTCTGTTTGTTTTATTTTTCTGTTTTCATTTTTAGTTATGTTTATTTTAGTGTATTTATTATTTTATTTCTTCTATATTTTTTTGTTTTGACTTAATGCTTGCTTTAAAGTTTATTAACTTTAGCTTATAGGTTATTACTTGTTGGGTCTTTTGAGTTGTGATGTGGTTGTAGATAGCAGAGTATTGTTGATATTTTTATATGAATTAATTTCATTCTTATGTATTATATTTGCTCTTTATTTATCACTCTTAATACCAAGTTCTGACTAATACATTATTTAACTTTTATCATATTGTCTAACATTATTATTTGAAGCATTTTCATTATTATAATTTGAACTGTTTTTTCATCTTTATTGTTTGTAAGACTGTATTATTTCTCTTTCTGACAAAAATTTCTGATGAAGTATTTTTAATGTTTGTTATATTTTGAGACTTTTCTTTTTTTTTTAACATAGAATTTCATTAGAAATATAATTCAAATGTGTGTTGCATATGATTTCCTTAGAATTCACTTCATCTTGTCCCCTTCATAATGGTGCTGTTCTTGAGGAAGAGATTAAGAAGAATAAGAAAAACACAATTTACTAAGCATTTACTTTGCTTTCATCTTTGCTGGTTAAATGTTGTATTTAAAAGCTGTAAAAATAAAGAAAATAATCTGCCAAAATATATGAAATAATGTAAATACTTCACATGACAGATTCAGACAATACAAGAAAGATAAAAGCAACAAAGACAAAGTCTGAAAAATATATGAAATTCTCTATTTGATGGCATATATGAACCCCTTTTACTCCAAGAAATATCTTCCAGGTTTTATATAGGAAGCTTTTATATAGTATAATATTCACTGAGATATCAGTGTCTGCTGGTACATATGCTAATCTTTATTCTATATTACTCTGATTATCTACTGGACAAATTTTATAAATGTATGGCAGAACAGAGACAAGGAAGGATTATAAAGAGATAAATAATTAGGCAAGATGATTTGAAGGGCCATGATCATCTATTTCCTGAATGGAGTTGGAGCATAAAATTTTATGCTATCAGATATGTTATTTTACTCATTGTAGATAGAATATGCTTAAGAAATAGTTTGAGTCTCATGTTTTTCTGAGACAATAGTAAGGAAAACTTTTTGGATTTAGAAACAACAAAGTTAAAACTTAATACAAGTTGACAATCCTTTATTTGAAATTCTTGGGACCAGAAATGTTTCGGTCTTCAAATTATTTTCTTTTTGTATTTTGGAATCCAGCCTATTTAATTTGTATACAGCATATATAAAATGGGGCAGTTTGGGAATGGAACCCAAGCATAAACACAATATCCCTTTACATTTTATAGCACAGCTTTTACATGTACCCTGAAGGTAGTTTTACATAGATAACCCATACCCTAGAAGTTGTGTAATATAAATTTTAAAACTTTTGTGTACATACAGATACAGATAATGATGTTAGTAATGTAATGCTCACACTGATTTTTACGTAGTGAAATTAACATTTCACATAGAAATAATGTTTTGTACTTTTTGTATGTGTACAAAAAACATGATCACTACTTACAAAAAATATATATAAATGCTGAACTTTTTGACATTTTTAATATCTTTACTGAGTATGAAACATCTGGTAAGTAATTGTTGTAAAAATTGCTAACAAAAAACTGGCACCAATGTTGGCTACATAGCTGGGCTGGAAAACCCCTACCCAGGGCAGATAAGGACACTTAAAACAGCTGTATGTCACCTAGGACTCTCCCCAGTGCTTTCTGAAATTTTCCATTTGTGGCAAGTCATGTCAGCATCTGAAAAATCTTTGGATTTTAGAGGTTTTCAGATTTTAGTATTTTGGATAAAGGATACTCAACCTGTATCTGTCTATATTTCTGAGATGCAGTATTATGTACATTATTTACATTATTTGGACTATTGTCTGTTCTGGCACAGTGGATAAAGGCGTTAGTTAGATCCAGTGACAGGACTCAAAGAGCGTGAGTTCAATACCCAGTTAAGGCAGTGGAGAACTTTCAGAGGGAAATTAACAACTGATAACTGACATCCATCAAACATGGCACGTGAAACTAGAACAGTCTACCCTGGTGAGCAAAATAAAGGGTTCAGTTCGACATTCCAACCACCGGAAGGCCGGAGCATAGAACGGCCGAAACATTGTAATAAATATGACGACAAAGATGAGGACAATAGTCTGAATAATGTAAATAAGATACTCAACCTGTAGTTGAGTATCCTTGAGATAATTCAGTAACTCTTGATGATCAGAGATTGGCAGCTGATCTCTCATCTGACCTAGCTCTAACTGCTCAGTGGGGGGGAAAAATGGCTGGTTGCATTCAATGCCTTGAATGTCAAAATAGTTACACTCCATCATTGTTGAATGGATCTAAAACTACTGTCAGTCATGATGAACGGATATCCCCTTGATCAGCTTCTTCTTGCAAACCACTGTTGTGTGGAACTGACTCCCAAGCGGATGTTCCCTCAATTGCTACAATCTCAACCTGTTCAAGTTTATGGTTAACTGTTATCTTCCTCTCCTATCCGCATAAACTGGGTCTTAATATAACCCTCTACTTTGGGTGCCCCCCCAGGGTGGGGCTTGTATATGGTGAACCTTACTGTAAAAACCAAAACAGATTCTGAAACTCTATACAAAATACATATATTTGAAGCTAATCCCACCAAACTTCTACATTTTATCTCTGCAATCTTATTGATTTATTATTATTATTATTTTTGTATTTTATTTCTTTATTTTTTCTTTAATAGGAGTAGATAGATTTGCCAATCATCCAGTTTACACAGCTTCTTGGTCGTTTTATTACTTATTCCTTGTTTCCTTGTTTAGTATTCAGTTTCCAGTTCCTTCTCAAGTGTTTTTCATTTTCTTTCACTCTCAGTAGCCCCTTGCATCTTAGAGGCATTATTGTCTTGCTTGGGGTGAATTGATTAAAAAAATAAAATACACCTTATCAGTTCCAAACACTGACATATAAAGTATAAAATGTTGAAAATTTTGGTCAAACAATTCCCACATTTTCAGATATTTTTCCTTAAAAGCACAAAATGATCTCTAAAAATTGGTGAGTGAATTTCTTTCTGAGAAAAATTAAAATTTAATGACTTCAAAATTTTTATTTTTACAGGGTTGACAGTAAAGGAATAATCTGTGATCAAAAAGGTGCTTTCCGCATCAACTGTGTCGACTGCCTGGATCGAACTAATGTTGTTCAAACGGCGATTGCAAGAGTTGTCATGGAGACACAGGTAGGAGAATTTATCTGTTTATTTTTAATTTTTCTCTTGATTTTTCCTTTAAAATCAAGTTCAAAAATTCAGTTTTCAAAAAAATAAAAAATAAAAAAAATAACTGTGTAGAATTGTTTGATTTCCTAAATTAAAAATCAAAAATTCTAGTTTTGAAGTTGGGGTTTCAGCCTTGAATATTTTTTTTCTTTGACTGTAAATTTAGCAGGTCTTGAATGATCATCTTCTTTGCTATACAATGCTTATATGTTTCACTCTGGGATTGTCTTAGCACTATTTTGCCATTCAGAAGTGTGTTGCTTCATCTTGCACCCATGACTCAATAATTTTCCTGTTATAATATATAAATTGATATTTCTAAACAATATTATGGTGAAAAAAGTTTTTCATATTGTGGTTAAAAATATAGTAGACAACCCATTTAAAATTTTGTTACTAATCAAACCTTTATGGCAGTGATGTTGGAAAATCTCTTCACAAATGAAAAGACTTTCTAACAACATAGATATGGTTTTACAGAAGGATGCTGAGAATATCATAAACTAAACATGTCATTAATGAGGAAGTTTTAACTAAAATAGAAACAAAAAGGATGCTTGTACTTTGAATCAGAAAGAGAGATAAAGTTTCTTGGGCATATAATATGGAAAGAAATATTGGAGAATTTTGACATGAAGTACATATATTGAAAGCAAGAGGGACAGAGGAAAGCAGTGAATGATCTTCCTAATGAGCCTTACTCAGAGCTATGAAAGTGAGAAAGTTGTCAATGACAATGATCACTCAAATCTTGAAGAGACATGGCACACAGAAGAAAAAGTATTTTCATTTTCACACAACAATAAATTCCAAATTTATTATTTGTAACTTTAAGAGTCATTAGCATTTCAAAGTGTTTTTCTTATTAGGTGAAGCATTGTCAGCCATTATTAATTCTTGATTAGTATCTCTTTTATCTTCATATATGTTACTTTTCATTGCAATTACTCAAACTGTCAAACTGTAACCTCTTTTCTTTATTTCTAATTTACTCACAGCATAGGACTCACAAGTTAAAACAAATCTTTGTTCAGACATTCGAACTATGCCTTTGTGTTGCTGAAGTTGTTATCATAATGTTTCAGACACTTTGTTCTCCAGCCATGTTCAGGTAAACAATTTGTAAATAAAGAGAATTTCTTTTTTGGCACTTTAGAAAATTATACAAGGTGTGATGGGTAAATTGTCACCATTTTATATCTTTAATTTCATGCATGCATCTTGTTTGTTTTAGATTTTGTTGACTGCACATGATAGTAGGGTCAGTTGGGCACTGTCTATGAGAAAAAGAGCACCATAACACAATTCACTCCATCAGAAATTTGAAAACAGCATGCTGTATTGCTTGGCATTCACGCCAGAATCTCCAATATGAACATTTCAGAGAGTTTGAGTATCAATCTGAGGACAGTGCAGAGAATTCTGAAAAAGTTGGATGATTTATCCAACAAACATCATGTTGTTTGGAGTGATCACTAGTGATGGAGATGTTATGACTCCGTTAATCTTCACACAGGACTTCAAACTCTACACAGAGGCCTACAGCAAGTGCCTTTTCAAGTTAGTGCTGCCCTGGGTCAAAAGGTGTGGCCTCTGGAAGTCCCTATATCTGGCAACGGGACTCTGCACCATACCGCACAAGCAGGAGAATGCATTCATGGCTGTCAGACAATTTCTGCGACTATATCACCCCTTACATCTGGCCATCTAACTCCCCAGACTGCAACCCCCTTGATTTTTATGGGTGGAGTGCAGTTGAGTGTGAGACCAACAAAACTCCTTGTAAGACCAGTGATAAACTGAAGGCAAGAATTATGACAGCATTCACCAACTTAAACAAGAAGACCATTCAAAAGAGTTGCAGACAATTATGAAGTCTGAAGGCTGTGGTTGAACCATTGATTTTACTGAATAAATTTACTCTTCAGTATTTCAAGATATTTTTGTGTAATTTTGGTAAATATATCTGTTAAAATGAGATGTTAGTGTTATTTACATTTTTGAGTAATTTATACAACAATTTAAGCATTACACCCTGTATAGCTTATTTATCTTTGTGAGTTAGCAATAATTTGATACAAAGAGGGCTGATACCAATCTCTTGAAAACTAATTACTTGATATCTGTACTTCTACAGATATATTTGCTGGATAGGTACCAATCTCTTGATAACATGTTACATATATATATCTACACTTACACAGATATAGAATAGAAATTTCAGTTAATTGGGCCAAAATAGAACAGTCTGGTTCAATTTGGTGACTGTTTTGATTATATCTAACAAAACAAGTTAGGCATTTTCAGTTTTAGAATGAATACATATCCAGCATGGAAAAAAATTTTCTGTTCAAAGTCTGAAAGAGTAAAATGTCATTAAACCCAGATTTACTAAATTTTTAAATAATCTTAAAACATTTTTCATTTTACAGATTTAATAATATATTAAACTGTTGTAATTCTGTTACCAGGTATATGCTGCTGTAGTCTCTAAGCAATTTAATGTGAACCAAATCAGCACATCTATCTAATAAAGATAATGGTTTGGTTTTATTATTTTGTATGTAATCATAGTTCATCTATAGGTTTCATTGCTTCCTGCATAGGAATAGCATTTTTGAAGATGGGTATAATTTTGTGCACACCAAATAGCACATATAATTTTTCCTATACTTTAAAAGCCTGCTGACAACAAATACACATCACTGTTTGACTCAGACTGACAAAACAAGATTGACCAACCTAACCCTTTGATCCCTGACCACCACTTTACTGGTGGTACAGAAAAATGACGTAATTCCCAGCTATCGGTTGAACAGTGGTAGAGAAAAGTAATCAGAGACAAAACGTGCAAGAAAAGAACTCTACACAGTGCAGTAAGTAATTGAAATGCTTGGTGATGTTTTATCAGCACTAGAGTATTATAATGATTACTCTGATAGTGAAGTGGAATTTGAATCGGATGATTTTGCTACTGATAGTATAATGCTTATATCTTTTGTAACTATTTTTATATTTACCGTGAAACATTACATACCAATTATTTGTGAATTTTGACTCAGAAGCTCAGGCAGAAGGGTTAAAATTGTTCAGGAATGCAAGGCTCAAAGGGTTAAAAGTTACTTTGGTTTATTCATACTGTTCCAATTAAACAATTTGGCAGCCCAAGTAAATGAAAGAAATTATTATAAAAATATATTTGTTTCTGTTTTTCAAGATTTGACTTAGAGAATACTACCAGTGACCAATCAAACAAAAATCTGATTGACACTCATTGGTCAGTTTATTAGGCGTAGACATTTCATACCAGTTTGAATCACTCTTTGACCTTAAGAACTGCCCCATTTCTTCTTAACATGTATTCAATCTAAAGGTTTCATTGTTTCCTGCTTAATAGCAACATAATTTGATGTGGTTAGGATTATAATTTTATGTATATCAAATAAAATATAATTGTACCTATACTTTAAAAGTCTGCAGACAGTTGACCCACAGCAAACATTGACTGACTCAAGCAAATTAGTGAGTGAATCTACAATGACCAACTTCATAAACCTTAATTCAACAGCTTTTTGCCCTAAATATATTAGGTGTTTTTAAAAAAAAAAGAAAAAAAAGAAATCAACAGTTTTTTTTTTTCACATTCTCCTTCTATGTGCTGTGACTTCTCATTTTATGTGGGTGATCATGGCTTTCCACAACTTCCTATCCCTTGTAAATCTTAGTAATGTTTGTGTTTTTGTCATCCCTCACACTCTCCATTACAACATATGACCTCTCGATCCCCGGCTACCTTCCCCTCCTTAGAAAAGACTCTCAAACCCACATGCATGGCCTTGGAGTTTACATCAAGGACCATCTCCCACTGGCTAGAGAGTTGTCTCTTGCATCTCCAGACCATTCGTACATGTGTCCCCGGCTATCTCTTCTCAATGCTGTATGCTACCTCTTCTTTCTTTATCGCTCTACCTATTCCAAAGACTGTGGTTTAATTGAATGCATTTCTGACAGCATTGACAAGGCTCTCTCTCTCCATCCATTTGATTGCATATTCGTTTTGGGTGATTTTAACGCCCATCATACCAAGTGGCTTAAAAACGCTACTACTGACCTTGCAGGCATTCGAACACTTAATTTTTCAATTTCTTAATCCTTTATGCAGATAGTTGACTTCCCCACATGTTTTCCCTACAACTAGGACAGTAAGGCTTCTCTTCTCAATCTATGTTTTCCCTCCATTCCTGAGTCCTGTAGCGCCATGCAGCTCTACCCTCTTGGCAACTCTGATCAGGCTGTAGTGTCTATCAACATCTCCTTCAACTCCACCCCCTGCAATGAACCTCCTATCACTAGAACCATGTTTTGCTATCAGTGAGCAGACTGGGACTTGTTTCGAGATTTCCTTTGCAACGTCCCCTGGGATGTTGTCTTTACGCTCCCCATTCAAGAATGTGCTTCTGAGGTCTCCTACTGGGTTAAAGCTGGAATCGAGGCTTTCATCCCCTCAAGGAAATATAAGGTCAAATTGTGCTCCTCCCCTTCATTCTCAGCAGCTTGCTCAGTTGCCATTGCCCATAGGAACCACTTCTTCCACCGATATTGTAGCAGCATGTTTGACTGCAATAGACATCTCTTTGTCTCTGCCTGTAATGAGTATAAGCGTGTCCTCAATGAAGCAAAGTCACTATTTGCTGCTCGAATGAAAGGACAAATTGCATTTTGCAAATTCGGCTCCAAGGATTATTGGCATCTCTGCAAGAGCTTACTTAACAATAGCAAACCCTCTATACCTCCTTTGTTCAACCAGTTTGAGGTTCTGACCTCTTCTGCTGACAAGGCTGAATGCTTTGCTTGGAAATTCTCATTCAGTTCAATGCTTGACTCTTCTGGTGTACCCACACCTGATTTCCCCCTTAAAACTGAGGCTCTATTGAGTGAGCTGCACATAACCCCATCATCGA